AGGAGGGGAGGGAAGGACAGGTAGGTGGGAAGTGGACGTGGTTACAAAAAGGCAACACTGAAGGGGTTCTGGTGGTGATTGAACCATGTATCTTGACTGTGGTGGTGAATACACGAACCTACAGATGTGACAAAAATGCATAGAACTAAATACACACAGAGGCACCTAAGTAAAAGATGTTATCACTGGAGGATACTGGGTAAAGTGTGCACAGGATCTGTGTACATTATCTCTTACAATGGCACATGGATCTCTATCTCAAAGTAAAAGTTTAATTTAAAAAAATGAGCAGCATTTCTGTCTAGAACATAAATACATATGTCAAAACCAATGGTAACTTCTGAAGAATGCCGTATGTGCTTATTCACTAACAATTGTCTAATTTTTCTAACTTAATTTTTTTATAACCTAAAATAAACATGATTATTCAAAAATCATTTACAGCATAAAGTAATGACAGAAAGCTTACTTCATTTAGGGGCTAATACATGTCATGTCAGATAAATAAGAACATTAAAATATTGTAGAAAATTCTTCCTTGTCTATCTTCAAGATAAAATAAGGAAAAGAAAATAAGCCTTAGCCATGAGGGTAATTTTTAAATAACTTATTTTGAAAGATATGTTACTTTATTAAGCAAACATTTTAAAAAAGATGAAAAACAGAAGGCTGGCCTGGTGGCACAGCGGTTAAGTTCTCGTGCTCCACTTCTGTGGCCCGGGGTTCGCAGGTTTGGATCCCGGGCATGGACCTACACACTGCTTATCAAGCCATGCTGTGGCGATGTCCCACATATAAAGTAGAGGCAGATGGACACAGATGTTAGCTCAGGGCTAATCTTCCTCAAAAAAAAAAAAACCCCAAAACAGCAACACCCTGCTTCTCTCTTGGACAAAGCCTTGACACGAATTGCTTCATTTAATCCTCATGGCATTGTGAGGTGGGTACTATTTTTGCCATCCCATTTGTACAGGTGAGCAAAGATTTAGGTGGTACTTGCATATTCTAGGTGTTTTACATATTTTAGCTGATTGATTAGATAACACAATGCACACTTTTACAGATAAGGGGATGGAAGGAGATCATGTAATGAAGGACCCTGGTTCTCTGACTCCAGACCTCTCCATGGCATCCCCAGGAGCACGAAGGCACAGAGATTTTAAACCGTCGGCTCAAGATCACACAGCTACCAGTGGTGAAAATCAAGATTTGAATTTATATTCTTTTCACTACACCAATCTTTATTAAATTGTGGTTGTTTTGGTCACAAATATTAGAATTATTTAAGAGGCTTCTTTAAAAACCTTTGTCTCCTTCTTCCCTTCAGCTCTACTGAATCAAAACCTTTGGCGCCAAAACTCTAGAAACTGTATTTTCAACAAACATTCAAGGAGAGTTTGATTCATGTTAAAGTTAGAGTCCAACTGCCTTATAACACACAAAGCAGGTTCCTGTGAGGGTCAAATGAAATATCTAGTATAATTACAAATGACATCATATTTTGCTAATCTTAAGATTCTATTCTTTTTTTCACAATTTAACATCTCTGAAATAAGATTGCCTGCTATAACTGATGGTGTCTCGCAATCAAGTAAAAATAGGTTTTTTTTCTTCTTAGCAGTACATGAAATAATGTTGTTTTAGATTTGATATAGTATAGAGGTTCACCGGAAGATAAAAATATAAGACATTGCTTATTAAACGCTATTCTATTCAGTTCTGGGTCACGCACGCTGTGAAAAGGTGCCCGTCCACATGCTCTGAGAGACAGCCATGGTGATGGAAGGAGGACTGGAAGCCATCCGTCGTGCCTAGATTCGCCCAGTCACTAATTACAGATTAGAACAGACAACAGGATGTGTGTGAAAGTTTGAAAACGATAAATCATATAAATGGCGTGCCTGTATGAATGCGTGCATATGCATGGGCTTGACGTAAGATTATTAGAGAAAGAGGAAATAATTTGAAAATGCTCATTTCCAAACTTGGCACATGTGCCATGTCATCAACATTATGATTCTAAACTTTACTCTTCTTCTTTCTCTAAGAATAGGAAGCATATCAATAAAAAGTTAGCACTCATTAATGCTTGCTGTGTTCTATGAAATTGTTAAAGTATTTTATGTAGTTTAGTCACTGGAGTTTCCCAGCAATCCTATGAAATACCATATTATTACTGTTGCTATTATTCCTATTTCACAAAAGAGGAAACTGAGTTGTTAGGGACAGTAAATAAGTTGACTAAAATTATCTAATGAGAAAGTGGTGGGGAAAGAGTGCGAATAGAGGCAGTTGGAGACAGGAACTTGCCTGCTGAAGCACATATCAAAGGAAAATTGATGCTAGACTAACCCACAGGCTGTGAATCCACATAACCAGGAAGGAGAAGGAGGACAGAGAAGCCAGGTGGTAACCAAAGTCACTGTAGGGGAAAGAAGAGAAAGCAAGAAGGGCGTGTGATAAAATATTTCTCTCTCTATTTTTTGCAATTCCTTTTCAAAATTATTTGATCTAAATATTTTATTTTCATTTTTTAGATTATGTGTCTCTACCAAAATGCATGTGGTTATGTAATTTTCTTTTTCTCTCCTTTCTACTAACGTGAACATTCTAGTCTGATTAGCTCCATTTTTAAGTGCATTATCGACACCTATTCATATTGCCCCCCTCTCTGGGACCTCATTGTTTATGGTCTGTCCTAGGAGCTCCATCAGTCTGTTCTTTGAGCCCTTGCGTGTAGCTGACATCCTGACATTCTTCTTCTTCTGTCTATATTGTATGTACTGGACATGTAGTCTCGACCTCAGGAAAATTGTGAAGGGGGTGTGGTCTTTGAAATCCTATGCCTCTCCTCTTCAGGCTTCTCCTTCCTGTTCCTTAGCCCCTTCCAGTAGGCCCAGTGTTTTCTCAGTCTATTTTGCTAGATATTTGAAGACTGTGAGCTGATAAAATGTTACCCCCAAATATTAAGGAGTGATATGTTTTCCTTAGGGGAGTATTTATAGTTTGAAAGAAGACTAAACGGAGAAAGCAACACTGCGCGGGAAGGCACGGACGGCTGGGTGAGGAGCCGCAGGCCCTGGGGGGACGTCGATCAGGATTGATCCCCTCGCAGCACCCTCCGACACTCTTGCCCTGGAACGGCCTTTGGGATACATGCGGAACGTCAGTCCTGTCAGGGATATCGTCAAAAGCCAAATCAATGAAAAAGGAAAGATGCCTGTTACTTCACTAAAAAATTATAAGACACTGTCCTACTCATTTTTTCATTTATTTAACAATTAATTATTGGGTGGTTGCTATGTACTAGAGTTATACCATCTTTAATTTTGGGCTCAATGAATTGTGCTAATTTTGGAAATTAAAACATATAATTCAAAGCAAACAAAATAAAAAAATTAATAATCCTCTCTGTTCAACATTGTTTCCAATTTTTAAAAATTAATTGGTTTCTCATTATTTTGTTCCATGTGTAAGAATTTAGGTCTTGCTATCTAAAATATTTCCCGGAACTAAATACATATCTTCTCATTCTTATAATTTTTTTATACTTCAACTTACTATACTATTTTTAAAAATATTTGCATGTTTAACTATACTTCATTTCACGTTTAGTGGATGATTAGATCCCAAGAAATATATACTACAATAAACTCTAAACTAGAAAGGAGTTAGGATTTTGAGTTTAGCTAGCATTCATATGATCTCCCTAATGTAAAATTAAGTATAATATTCTATAATTAATACATTTTGATTGGAAATCTATGTAGTATTATTCTCATGTATAATGATGGCATCTAATCCAAAACATACAGAATTAGTCTCGTTTTCCTTATTTTAACCCTATAATGATTCTGTTCGCAAATACATTACCATCTGCCCTTTTATTAAGAAACCTAATTGTTTTCTTTTGAACTAAGAAGTCCCAGAAAATTGTGTTGCAACTGCTTGAACTGACGTTTTGGGTGTGTTGACCCTCATTTTTCTATGTACACAGGAAACATCTTTTGTCCATGACATTGCATTGATTTTACAACTGAAAGGTGACATTACTGCTTATTTCCTAGGTTCCTTAAATAAGTGCTGTTTTAAATGTTGCTCTAAATCATGGATTAATTGAGTAATCATTAATGCAATAATCTCTATAGAACCTAGGTAAGTTGGAGGTTTCTAAACTTGTAAAGAGACACGGTCCTTGCCAAGGAGGAGGTGACAGTTTCAGTGGGAGGTAGATAATACAGACAACTAAAGAAGACTGAAACGAATATAAACGCTATAGGAAATCAAATATGGATAAAGTCCTTCTTTGACCACTAAACTAAATAGCTTATGAAGAATAAATAGCACGTTAATATATAGTTAGGGAGCAGTAGGGGAGTTGAGTTGTAAATACGCTTGGCGGGTCTGCTAATGCTAATTGTATCTGCATTTCCAAAATTTCATGGATATATTTAGAGATATAATACCAAAGACAAAGAGAAAACTAAACTAAATCGGCAGTGGAGAACAATGAGTGCAAGTTAATTTTTCGGACTGCATTTACACTTCGGTTGACTCAAATCGTTGTGGAGCAGTGTTATGTTTCCCGCAGAAGAGCCACATTTAGCCTGCAGTGCCCCCATGAAACACGCGGTTAAGACTATCATCCGGGATAACATTAGCGCTGTTAATCTGCAGTCAATTATTTCATATATCATGCAGAAGCCCAGAGTTACTAAATGGAGCCATAATTCTTAAATGAGAGTTCATTCAGGAAAATTTTAGTGCCTACTTGTTTAACACAATCTTGTAAATGATCCCTCACAAAGGATGTAAAAATCCACACACATCTTTAATGGACTAATTGCGCTTCGCCGCAGTGCTGAGTCCGTAAAAGCTTAATAGTGAGAGAGATGATAGCGTTTTCATCTTAATTTGCAAACATAATCGCCATTCTAAACATCTTTTTGTTTTGAACTTAAGTGCTTATTGACAGCAGAAATTTCCCCCAAACACTAATAGAGTATTTAACATAATTTCATTTATTGAAAGAAAATTCAAGGGAAAATAACATACAGCTATCTGAAACTATTTAGCAGAAGGAAAATGTCAAAAGGAAAAGTAAGTTAAAACTAAACTTTGAGTTCTAAAATGTAACTAATATTCAATATAAATTGAACACAATGTATATTTGATTAAACGTATACATTTAAATATAACTGATGAGACTCAAGAAATAAAAATGATATCCTGGAAATCCAGGACAACAATTAAGAGCAATACAAAAACAAACTGAAACTAACAAGCTAATCCCTATTTCATAGAATTTCCCATCATTTTATTGAAAAATAAGAATACATTTTAGGTCAACTCATGGAAAATTAGTACAATTGAAATGAAATTCAATCAGTTGTAAATATTCCCTTGACAAAACTATTTCAGTTTCTACCCAGAGTTTAACCTCTGCCCTACTCAAAATTTTGAATTTCAATTCTTTAATTTCAATATACTCATGTGGGTTCAGGGTAGTGAAATCACCACTCATAATTTAATAACCTTTATATTAATATATGTCAATAAAGCAGTCCATATACAAACATATGGAATATTTATTTCTCCCTAACTTTCACTTCTGTTTCCAAGCAAACATGAACATATGATGGATTGATTCTGAATTGACAGATTTCACATTAAAACTTCAAGTCTTTAAGCATTACTTTTTCTATGCAATAACATATATATATATATACTTATAAATATTACGGATACTCAGCAACGAACTTTTTATATCAGATTTGGAAAAAAAGTTCTGATCATTCTGTGGTAGCTTTTCTCCTAAGTTGAAGTAGAAAATGCCAGAGACATTGCTTTTTAAAAATAAGCACTAAGAAAACTAATTAAATTGGTTAGCCACAAAGGGAATATTGTAGGAAAGGAACTAGCTTGGGACAGAACCCTATGATTTTATTGTTTTCATAGAAAATGCAATAACTCCTCATTGACATCAACTAGCCAGTTGCAAGAAGAGTACCCCTTCTGCTTTGTGGAGACGCAGGCGTAGCAATTAGTAAGAAGTAGTTGTCAACCAAGAAGAAAAGGAATTTGGAGTAAAAGTTTTCCAGTTTCAATGTCTGTTGAGAGGCCCTGATCTTTGAAAGGCACGTTAAAAAAAAAAAAAAAGGTTTTGATAAAGAACATGCATTCAAGAGAATCCTTTTAAGTCAATCACACCATCAAAATCAGATGAGTCTGTCACCGTGTTTCAAACCACTAATCAAAAACAACCAAACAAGAATAGACCATGAAAAATACCATAGCCAGTTTCACACAGTCTTCAGTCTAGAATTAAATTAATTGTTCTTCAAATTACACTTTTTGACAGATAAGTTTATTACAAAGTCGTTAAAATAAAAATGCATGTTTGGTGAAAAGTTAGTACAGTTGTCATTCATATTTTGTTGTATTTGAAAATATAAAAGTAAAGAATGGGAATATTTTTACTATTTGTAACAAGATGTAACTGACCAGTTGGTTTGTAATTCGGATTATTATAATGATCATAATTCATTGCCATGCCAAAGTCCATGTTTTGATATATGTGAAATGAAGTACCATGAGTTTAGTCTATTGCATGACATTGTGGTGTTCCATGCATCGTTCTAATCTCTTAAAGAAAATTTAACGACAGGCCAAACTTCTAACCTACTAAGTACTATGAATCACATGAAACCAGAAAATATTTTAGATCAGGGATACGTAGCGGTTTGTAATTCACGATGGAACTAAAAAGTAGGTAGCAGGAAAAAAGAAAGCAAGGCTAGGTATGTATATAATATATATAAGAGAAGTCTCAGATTTTCAAAAAGCACAAAGTAAAAGTTACGTTATTTTTAAATAATGCATAGTCAACGAGTATTTCATATAAATCCTAACAAGCTGATGGGGTATCTTTTTCTCACTTTTGAGTTTGATGAAAAGTAATAATATTGGCCATAATTTGGCACTTCTGGAAACATTAGTGAATTTCAACATGTCTAAGAGGCCATGAGTTTTAAGATGCTGCATTATTTTATGTATATCACTACACAGATGCTGCCAATTGTAATTAAAATAGGCCCGCTTGCAGAGATGTTAAAATGTGGAGAAGCAAGCATCTTTGAACTAATGAAACAGAGTAATGTTCCTAACTAATGGTGACTACATGGTATAATCTTTCTCCCCCCAAATTAAATGATCCATTGCCTGATGCCTTCCTATAAAAGAACAGAAAAATATTGGCATCAATCACACTTAAAATATGTTATCAAAAAGGAAAAAGGGGGAGTATGTGGGTCAGTTCAACTCATAATAAATACAAAAAATATGAGGAAAAGGAAGGCAATTGGTAAACAGGGAAGTGCTTCAAAGTTGTCATTATTATTACTAATATTAAAGAAGAGACTACTTAACACGATTAACATTTCACTTATCCCAAATTTCCCGCATTTTTATCCACTTACTTTCAATTAAAGCAACTGAACATTTGATCTGGAGTGAAAAAAACTGATTCTAATTCTGAGTTTGTTGGTTTGTTTAAATGATCCGGAACCCACTTGAGATGCGTATTTTATTACTGTATCAATAAATCTGATTGCTTCGCTGTTCTTCTGATGGCCCCTTTGTTCTTGGCAATCACCTGCAATTTCTCAAAATCTAATCAAAATTAATTTTTGAAGTACCAGCCAGTTCTCATGAACTTCTGAAGAATTGTGTATTCTTACTGTGTGAAAGGTTAGGGAAAGACTATAGTATCTCATGAATGCTTAGCAGTAGGATTGAAACGTTCATCTTCAGGAATTTCTTGTGCAGGCTTACTTAGGAAAAAGGAGACTTGACTGTTTTCCTGGAAAGGACACATGTATATCCAAATATTCTGAATATAAACTTCTTAGTTTTTTGCAAAAGCCTCACTCAAATCAAAGATCAAGGAAAGAAGGCAGCAAGGAGTTAAGCCTCTCTTTAGACCTAAAACATTTTTATTGATATTATCAGCAATGAGTGTGCAGAAGTTCAATTAGAAAGGATGATCCACTCATGCAGGATAGTGGAGATAAACGGTTAGTTGCCACAAAAAATAGAAGCCAAGGTGAAGGAAAATTTAGCAAATATTAAGCTAAGTGCCCCAATATTCTTTACTTTAATCTCTTTGGTTTGATAAAATGACTGTAATTTTGAAAATTTTTCAGTATGCCTGATTTGTTCAAAAAAGTTAGGAAACTCACTTGTTTATTCTTTTTAATTTAAAAGATTTGGTTTAGCTCAATTCTATCACTACCTAGACATTCCAACTGGTCCCCTCTTTAACTGTGAGGATACGCATTAAATTCCAAGTTCTTCTTATCTGTTTCGTATTTTACTTTGAAAGGCTTGACATCTTTTTTTACATCTATTACAAATATAGAAGAGTGCGCCAGGGTGTTCCTATTAAACTTTCTTCCTGCAGACATTAGGGTTTATGAAGCACTGAAGATTTATCCCAGGGCCACAGAACCGATAAATTGTATAACTAGTCTCATTTTCGTGATCAGTGAACATTGCTCAACAAACACACATACAGCTTTTCATACCTTACCTGGAAAGAGGCTTTATTGAACATAGCTGTAAAATTATCTTTTAAGTTGAATTACTGAATTTGCACAAACATTTCTACAGAATTTTTTTAAAAAATCAAGCTTTGTCATTTTTCCACTACATTTTGTTGTGCTTTTTATATTAATATTTGCAAATGTTCTAATTTAATGCTTATATCCCAATTACTTGCATAATCAGTTTTTTTTTAATCCTGGGGTGTTGAAAGAACATATAATAATAATAATAATATTCTTCTTTAGACAAAAGTCTTTTTAAATGAAGTTAAAAGCTGAGATAATTTAAGGAAAAAGATCTTCAAATTTTCATAACCAACAGGTTTAAGTGAAATTTACAATGCGTTGGAAAACTGGCTGGTTAAAGGTATGATTTGTCCTCAGGTAGCTCAAAATCATTTTTACAGGTTTTCGTTTTTTTGTAAAAGTGTTTTTAATCTTGGTAAAATAATAAAATAATATTTCACAATTTGCACAGAGTCTGACTAAAGGGCAGAGGCATACGACCCTCAGTGTTTAGAATAAAGCCAGATTGTTCAGGCCCAGTTCCGCTGTAGAGTTTGTGTGCACTGCAATCATACACATTTTCTTGCTCCCTCTAAAGCTAGGGCCAATTTCATTTCACATGGAGGCGAGAGTAAAAAAATCACTCGTGTGTTTTATCACCTTCTGCGCTAAGTATTATCTTAACCACCTTTTACTCTGGTTGACCCACTTAATAACCTGGAAGAACAAAGCGTTGCTCCCACGTCTGGTCTCAAAGGAAGTGATTTTCTAATGGACAAGAAGCCGAAGGCCATGGCCGTCCAGGAGGTCCAGCAACAAGCAGCTCGTCTGCATGGGCTCACGCAGCAGCTCCGGTCCTTTCTTTTTCAGAAGCGGCTTTGTTGTCTTGCCTGTAATTTGCACATTGAGGCTCTGTAGTTTGTTTAGAAAAAGAGTTTTACACAAACCACTCTTAGCAGTGCAAGCTTCTGAGTTGAAAATTATTCAGGCTTGTTTCATTGAAGGCACTTGGTTTCCATGGCAATTTATAAAAGATGGTGGTTTGGTTTCTTCGTTGGAACAGATGACTTAGTTTGGGTGTTCAAGTGGCCGCAAGCAAACTCCGATAAGCCTGTGTAATATGTAAGCCCAGGTTGAGCCCCTGGAGAGGAGTGCATGCAGAAGGAGACAGCATACATTATCTAGCTGAGCCATGGGGGGAAACAGAATAATCATAAAGGTGGGGTAGGGAGGAACATGAATGTTTTAAATAATTCTGAGTTCGGGTTATTTTCAAGGAAGGGTAACAACCAAAGGTAAAAGGGCCTACATTTATTTAATTCTCTACGTAAAACCTTCTCGAAAGGAAAATAAATGCCAGCTCTTCACGTACCCTGTTTACAGTGAGGTTTTTGTTGGCAGGCCATTAGGTTTCCATGGTAACAAGCAAACTATTCATTTGAAACAAAACCAGCCATGACTTTGTGCTTTGACAAGGATTTCTATAGCTCTTTTTTTTTTCCAGAGTTCAACCAGATGACCAGATGACGCTGTAATCTTTTCAGCCACAAAAGCACCTGAAGGTCTCTTCTCTACTCAGGTCAAGATTATCTTTTATATGTTGTTTGGAATAAGTTATACTTCCATGATGTCTTTTTATCCCCAGTGCTTAAAAAAATTTGTTTTTATTATTTTATTTTTGAGTCAGTAGTCAGTAGAGGAATCTTTGGTAGTTTGTTTTTTCAATGTCCATTTACAAAGACTCTTTCTTCATGCCAGTGCCTGGTGAATCTTTTATAGCCTCTGCCAGTATAAGGTCACCTTCGAGGACTTAAGATAGAGATGAGGACGATAACGGGAAAAAGCCATATATGTACTAAAATCCCAACAGCACCATCAACGGAATCTAAAGACAAGGAAAATAAATGCCAAGAAACAGAAACAGGAGCATAAGTATTCCACGTAGCTACCAACACAACTTTGGTGAATTAATAAAACAATTTTAGTATATGGAAAACATTTGTAGAGAACATTTTTGTTGCTTTGTTTTATTTGTCAGCTTCACTTTACAGACAAGTGAAGGAAAATAACTTGAATATACAGTTAGACATTGGATAAAATAAAATTATTTGCAGCTTTTAAATCGATACGATATGCTGTGAAAACTTGTTCAGAAGATGTTTGTGTGATTTGTGGCTGTGCTCCACCTCGAAGCTCTGCTGGCCACAGGAAAGCACGCACAAAGACAAAACTGTCAGAAATCCTAAAAGGTCAGCTTTTTTTCCAATCTTCCAGAAATGCGTAAGCTTAAAGACTGAGAGAACTTGTCTCAATGAAAACTAGGGAGGGATTGTTATGGGTAGAGAAATGAACTACTGCAAATAGTGGATTATATCTGTTTATATACTTATTGGATCAGTCCAATATCTATAAATTGGGTAAATAATTATCTCTTCAGTGTAGTTTTTAGAAGCTCTATGAAGTCCATTCTAACTAAAAAGTCCCTTCCACCGATCTGCCTTGAGATTCCTGCTGCAGCTGGTATTTCATTAAAGCCTCTTGGAATGCACACCTCACGTAGGAGGGCTAGCACGGGGAAACCCAGCAGCTCATTAACCTGGCTCCAGTGACAGAATGGCTCTCCCCTGAGAGAGAGCTGGCTCTTGAAGATGAGACACAATCTCAGCTTTGGCTGGTGTGGCCACAGCACCAGTTACTGCCTGAGAGGTTGGGAGCCCTCAGGAAGAGGCTTTGGCTTCCAAGCTGGTTTGTACTTAGAAATCAGCGTTCATGTAATATTCGTCAAACACTGTTCGTCAATGAACTTACTGAGTTAAATAGACACGAATGTAACAGAATACTTTCCTATACCGAAAAGAATATTTTTGTTCAATTAGCATTGTTTCCCCTGATTTGAAGAGGCTAAATAAAAATACCTCCAACACATATAGATATATCCTATTTAAAAGAGCCGCACAGGGGCTGGCCCCGTGGCCGAGTGGTTAAGTTCGCGCGCTCCGCTGCAGGCGGCCCAGTGTTTCGTTAGTTCGAATCCTGGGCCCGGACATGGCACTGCTCGTCAGACCACGCTGAGGCAGCGTCCCACATGCCACAACTAGAGGGACCCACAGCGAAGAATATGCAACTATGTACTGGGGGGCTTTGGGGAGAAAAAGGAAAAAAAATAAAATCTTTAAAAAAAAAAAAAAAACAAGAGCCACACATTTCTCTGGATTTGGTAGTTTGAGAGAAGAAAGTGGATGATGACAATTCTCTGTTGGGTAATAATAATCCCAGTGGGCTTTCATGGTCAGTTCACTGCAGCTCCTCTCCCCACTTCTGCTTTCTCCTCTCAGCAGTAAATTATGTCCTCTTGCTTCCTCATTTGTAAAGTTTAATTCACTTTACTGAATTTAATTTATAATAGTTTTCAGTGATTAAATTATCAACAAGTAAAAATTCTTTAAAAGATGTTACTATAATGTTACTGTCACTGATTCGAGTCGTGACATTCAAAAGAAACCCTATTCTCCTCTGGGGAGACGCATGCTTTTCTGTGCATTTGACAAGCCTACTTCATTTGGGTAGAGCTACTGGTTTTCTAAAGGAAAATGAGCCAGACACAGGGAGAAATTTCTACTAAACGTGTTACTTGCAATGCTGTGTAATGACAAGAAGGTGAAAACTATGAGAAAAATGGCTCATTGTTATACTCAATCATAGTTTTTGTCTTTTTACAATGCTTAAAAATGGAGTCAATTCAGTCCATGTGAGCAATCACTGGGTGGTTGTACAAATTTGACTTTCAACATCTAGACTGACATAATTTCTCACTAAATATATGCAATTAACAAAGACTCTGATTTGCTCTAGACTTACATAAAATGGATCTCCGTGCTTCTTTTATATGTGCTAAATAATTGATGATTTATTTATGTAAATTTAGCTTGACTGATAACTCTTTATATGACTACAAAATTAAAGATTCCAGATGGGCCGATTAAAATCCTTCAATCGCACGATTTTTTAATAGAAATGCTTTTAGATTTCTCAACTTCAAATGGATAATATGGAGATGAGCCTTTTAAGAAGCAGCCCAACACATACTTACGATGCTTTTTGGATTATTTATCATTTTTTATTTACATTTCTTTTATTAAAAAATGGATTTTGGTGAAAATATAAAATTTGAAGATATCATTAAACCATAATATTCAAACCAGAGTAAAAACTGAAACCAAATTACTAAACAAGATTGTGGTGCCGGTCAAAGATTAATTATACTAGAAAAACATAAGGCTACTCCATTACTTAATATATATACTAAGGCTCTTCACAATACTGAATTTTTTTAAATGGTTAGCCAAATAGTTGTTAAAGGGGTTGAATATGTTTCTTGGTTGGCTAGGAAACATATTCATAAACTATTTGGGGGAATAAAAACAGCTATGGCTATATAAACATGTGCTGAGTATACAGAGATTAGCCAAATATTTTAATAAAAGTAAAAAAATCCTCTGCAATTAATAACATAAATTTAAAACATTTTAAAATCTTAATTAAAAGTCAAAGCGTGCTTGCCTTGCACAGACCTCAATCAGAATTACTTTTATTTTATCTTAGGTCAAATATGCCTACAGTTGAATTTAATACTTTGGTTTTAAAATAGCTTCAAAATTTTGGGATCCCATATATAAAAAATTTGTAAACAAACTAAAAATAAATGTTTTTTAAAATTAGAATACATTAATTTAATAGTAATTACGTTACTCTAACATCAAAACAATCCAAGAAGAGACACTTACTCTTAGTCGTCAGGTCTTGCTTTGCACATTCTCCTTCTGCAATTGACACATCATCAATGGCAATGTCACCTTCTATGCCGGGACCTCGAATACCTTCAAAGATGAGCTACAAACATGAATGAAACAAACCTAAATGTAGAGCTTTGACTTGCAGATGAATCTCTACTGAGAAACTGAGGAGCCATAGCTAAAACTGTCAACAATCCTGCCACCTTTTCTTCTAGATGTTCTTCAAGAGTGTTACTTGCAAAAAACATAAACTTTCTTAAGAAAACCAATAATGGCATCTTCTTTGCATATTGGTAGTTTTTCACATCAAAGCTCCATGTTGATTTTAAAACAAAATTAAACTTAATTGGATGATACAATAAAAGCAACAACTACAAATCTTATCACTTTTGGTTTTCAGGGGTAAGGAAAAATTTTTATTTGAGCAGTCTTTCTCTGAAATAGATTTCCTCCAATTTTCTCTAAACATACTCGTAACACTGGTTTTCCAGAAATATTTTAAGAAATCAATCAGTCCTGGGTTCTTTATAACAGTTTTATGTTTACTGAAGCCCAGAACAAGGGTTTACTATCTCTGAAACTGTTTGATCTCTTGCAAATACAGTGACTAAGTTCCTCATATTCCCCAGATGTTATGATTTACCTCTATTATTTCACTTCGACATCTTATTTTTAAACATTTGAAGATATTTATGGGTCTATTTATGTTGAGTGTTTAGTAGCTGACCTTTGAATTTCCAGTATCTAGAACAACGGTTGGCACTGAGGCTAGATACATAAGCACTGAAGGAACAGTGAATGAAGTCATTCTCCCTGCACTACTAAATTCTGGAAACAAGGACAATATAAGGACATTTAGCAAATTTTTATTATTTCATTTTTACAGAAACAAAACTCTTTTAGAATTTTCTCCATAACCCCCAATTATTACTTGCTTCCAGCAAAACCTTTCAATCTTTTTGATACTAAAAGGTAACCTATGCATTTAGTGATTATATTCCCAGAAAAAATGTCTTCATGTCAAAATGAAATATCTAGTTTGGTCTTCCAAAGAAAAATTAGCTTAATGACGAGCTGTTTCCAACATCAAGCTGACGTGTGCATTTTTATAGAATTTCTAGCCTTATTTCATTGCAACAATTGAGAGTGAAATTGTATTTTTATGAATGCTAAGATTTTTCATTTTGTTTTTGTCTTTGAAAATATCTTAACATGGCTCCTTAAAGGCACATTTGTGGCTATTTTCAGAGAATTTAGGCCACCTTCAAGAAGTTGATCCATCATTCTCTGACATGCTATCATACTTTATCAATTGACATCTCTAAGTAGTAAACAGAGGTATTCATTTTCAACTTTTATATTGAGTCCCTGTCCCTCACTTAGAGTCCATAAGAATAACAATAATTTTCATGATTTGATAGGAGAAAAAGCTTTGACAAGTTTTTATTACTACATTTAATTTGTGGTGAGAGGGTTTCCTGCCTACCTATGTTGAGATAAGTATGTTAATAAAGAGTGTCCAAAACCATTCCTTTGAAAAGCATCCAAAATGTCCTGTATCACTGAAGCCAAAATAAAATGGCAGGCCAGAGTTAAAATATTTGGAATTAAGCTGGCAGTATATGAATTCTCAGTCCCCTCAGATGGAATCCATGATGAAGCTTTAGAGCTTGGCTGCATGGAAGGAATGACTTGCTCTTGAGTCAGGGTGGTGGTTTGGAAGGTATTTGGAAAGTGGCTAAAAAGCCCTCAGAAGACTGTTTAAGTCACAAGAGTGAGGATTCAAAAAAAAGAAAAATCAGTGATATAAACATTCAAGTGCACTGAATATGGAAAAGGAGAAGTCATTTTAATATTCCATGCTATCATACAACATTATTTAACCACTACCCTATTGTTATTGTCAGACATTAAAATTATTTTCAGCTATTGTGAACAAGGCTGAGATGAACACATTTCATGTAATTATGACAGACACTTATTTAGAACACATGGTTCTTTAAGATCATGATAATTTCCTCCATCAGCACTCTGTCTGTAAGAAGGCGTTGCCTTTTTCCTAACCATGGGGTTTTAAGTCCTTTAGGTATTTTTCTTTTTGTGATATGCACTGCTTGCCTGGTAGAGAATCTACATTAGAATAAATCAATGGCTACTCCAGCCTTGGTTTCAGGCACGTGATGCTGAGTCTTCTCTCCTGAAGATAACAACATCGATAGAATGTTATCTTGGAGAAAGTCAGAACTCAAAAGACTAAGGCATATATGAGTCTGATTCTACAAAATCCAACATTTTCCACTCTTCCCACCAGACTGATACTCTATCAAAACAAAGCGGAATGCTGTCATCACAAATTTTCCTTTTATGCAGTTTTAAAAGAATGAATGGAATGAAGTGCAGATTTCTGCCTCCCAGTCAAGTTTAATTCTGGAGTGAAGCAGGAATAAGAGAGTATGAGTCAGGAGAATTTGGTATGGTAAAGAGGAAACCTCCTCAGTCACCAAAAGTTTTAATTTTAAAAGATGGCGTGAGAAGGGACAGGGAGTAAATACTGTTGTGGAGTAGCTGCAGGGTTTGCAATGTAGCTGTGGCAAAGATACAGGGATTGCCTTCCCAGATGCTTTGTGTGGGAAGTGAGAGGTTGGGGAGAAGGCTAGTAAGGGTAGATTAGAATATTCTGCACCTGCTCACACTGGAAATTTAAACAGATGAAGCTGAAGTCATAATCCTTTCATTGGATGCTGGAGAAACAGGCTGCGGAGTACATGGGTTTTCCGTCTTAGCTATGTACTGGTGAGTAGATCATAAAATTATCCACAATTTTTCTTATTTAAAGTAAACAATTATTGTTCCTTAGTAAGTTCTTGTTCCCTGGAGGTAGGTGTCAATATCAAATAATGGGGTTATTTTAAAAATAAAAACTAATATGTGTAAATCACGAATATCATTCCTGAACTTTTCAAAGCTGCTTTCCCCAGAATGATCCTGCCATTGCTCAAAGCATTTCAAAACTCCTGTCACTGACTTTAAAGTATTAAATGCTCCTACTTTTCCTATTAATTTTCTTTTCCTTCCCTTCCATCTGCTCCCTGTGCAGCTTGATCAAAACACAAGGTCAGACCTAGTCTTGTGCTAAAGACAAACGTCCTAAAGCAGAGAGGTTGTGAAGGATGCTGCCATCCTTCTCTCGTGGTCAGACTGAGAGGGAGTGTTGGGAGCATTTTGGGGCAGACATCAGAGTGTAGACTGACTGATGCAATTCAATATGTATGCTGCTGCTTGCTGGCAATATGTTGACAGTAAGCGTGTAGTTGGCTGAACAGCAAAAATATTAATCAACATAAGTCAAACTGTCATGTGTCCAGAGGACTGCCTGTATCTAGAACATTCTCTCATATGAATACTTCATCCCTTGGTGATCCTGAATGAATTAAGTGTTACAGTAATAAAAGTTGGCTGATTTGTAAATCTCTTATTTCCATTTATTTATATGAGTACAGATAATACAATCTGTCACTGAATAAAGCAAGCTGATTACTTTCCACATAAGCATAGCAGATGTTTTAGATGCAGTGTGGAAATAAGACAGAGAATTAGAGGTAGTTATTCCTAGGATGATAAAAATAATTTCTGATAATCAAATTCTAGGTACACCCTAGATACAATAAGTGTTTTTAATATTTATTTGTAATCTTATGATGATAGGGAATCCAATCCAGTAGATGAGAGAAATACCGCAGTCTTCCTCAGGGTCCTATTTGAACAGGAAGAAAGGTCCTGTTCTGTATGCTTGTTTGCTTCCTGTTAATTTCCATAGCACTCTTGCTATTAAGATAGAGATTGTTTTTTAACTCACAGTGACTCTCACAAAGAAATATAAATTGCATTGTTCTATTTATGCTCCAAACTCCAACTACAATTATATTTCTGAATTATTATAACAAAATTTCGTAGATTCTAACAGAGTCATAAACGGCTTCTAGACTAAGACCTGGAGGGCTACTTTATCCTTTGTATTGTTTTCGACTGTGAGGTAGAGCACAGAAATAAAATGCATAGGTAATCAATTTAAACAATGTACCTTGGCCAAACGTTCAAGTGTTTATAAAAATAAATCCTCGGTGACAAACATCTTTCTCTCAAATATAAAAAGGAAAAACTATAAGGATTTGTTATGGTGTATCTCAACTTGGAAGACATGATCTGTATGCAATGAAAAAATCTGAACTATATTCACTAGGAGAAGAAATGCTCTGTAGTTTAATGGGCTCACTATGTCATATTTTTATGAAGTACCATCATAATTCTGACTACTGTTTCACCACAGAAACAAAACTATGTTCCCTTCCTCATTAGTACTTCTGAAATGCATTTGATTTAATTGTCATGAAGCAGGAATTATTGGCATGTGGATACTCAGGGCGAAAATGTTGAAGTTTAGGTCTCCTAAAAGAGGGTTCAAATTATGCAAAACCTGTTCTTCACACACAGTCATGTTGATATTATTTAAAATACTTTCCCTTAACTGAAGTTTAAAATTTTAACGTTTTCACAGTGTGTGCGTGCAATTCAGCAAACTTAATATGCAAGAAATACTGCATAATCATAAAATTACCTCTTGGTAGGTAAATTCAAGTGGAAATTTGTAAAAATGTATGTGGACTTCTGCATTAGAATTACACCACACAAAATTATTTCAGTTCATCGAATTACATCCATTATAATGCTTTAAAGCATACAGATATTGATGTCAGTATAGAGAGAGAGATATAGACGATGCTATGAGAGCTTGTGTTCAGATATAATTTCTCAGTGAGGGAGATAGAGTTTACATGCAGTACTATAAGCAATGTAGATGGAGGAGTTAAAGAATACAGTGCCCTTCTGAGGATCTGACTTCAACGTTAACGGTGCCTCTGCAAATCCTCACATCACATTTTCTTCCCGACGAGATAAATCGCTACTGATTATTATTGCCAAGGCAGACCCAAAGCTTAGAACGCAGTTTGAAAACTGACCGTCAACATTGCTTGGAAAAACTTCATAATAGAAATAAATTTGAAAATAGCTATTAACATTAATAATTTTACCTTTATT